GCCTGCGAGGTCGGGCCTTCACCGCCCACGATCCGGGCAACGAGCTGCTACTTGGTCCGGTTTTCGCGGCTCCCAAGGCCTTGGAGGACGCCGGCCTTCAGCTTGAAGACATCGGTGTCTTTGAGCTCCATGAAGCCTTTGCCGCGCAAATTCTCGCCGTCGTGCGTTTGTTGGAGAGCGACCGGCTTTCACGGGAGATCTTGGGCCGTGATCGAGCCCTCGGAGCCATTCCCATGAATCGGCTCAACCGCTGGGGAGGCTCCTTGGCGATCGGCAACCCCTTCGCCCCCAACGGCGCTCGCTTGCTGACCACCGCTGCCCATCGCCTGGTGAAAGAAGATCAGGAATTCGCCCTGGTGGCCACCTGCGCTGGCGGGGCCTTAGGACATGGGTTGGTGCTGGAGCGGGTGTGAGAGAGAGGCCGAGTGAGCTGTAGCCTAGAATCGCCTGAAACCAAACTTACCAAGTCAGGATGTGGTTCCTCGAATTCGTCGCTCTGTAGTCTCTGGATCACGACGGCAGTCCAAAATCGCGACGACGTCGACTATGGAGCCCTTGACAGCGTAGTAGATGGCGAAAGGAAATCGAAAAGCTAGCTTGCGATGTAGACCATAGACGATCCCATGGATACCTCCATGGGATTCAAGGGATTCCAAGTCCGCAAAAAGACTCTCGATAAATTCGTCACCAAGGCCTTCCCGTTGAGCTTCGTAGAAGCTTGCGGCCTCGATCAGATCTTCCCTGGCCTCAGGTCGGAGCTCGACGTTCATCAAGCTTTTTCTTGATCTCGGCTTTGGCCTCTGCCAACCCCAAGGACTTTCCGGGGGCCGGTGACGCGAGACGGTCTGCGATAACTCTTTCGTGCCACTCAGGCGGACGATAGCTCGCGCCAAAGAATATCCATTGCCGCTAGCTTTTCTTGATGGCTCAGGTCGCTGAGCAATGCTTCAAGGGTCATGGCTACCTCCATGCTTCATCTTATCGAGCAGGAAGAATTGAGACAATTTTTCCGCCAGGAGGGATCTCACGTCACGCCAGCGTCCGACAGGTCGTTTAGCTCTTCCTCGGATAGCTCCAACAGCTCGGCCAGGACTTCTCGCGTATGGGCACCGAGCTC